CTCCAGGGCAGCAGAAAACAATACTCTTCCCCATCTGTATGACTTCTCCTCACACATGGCCCTCATCAGGTCTCCTCCCAGCCTCCTCTTCATAAGGCTTTTCTCTTCTTCCTGCTTATCGTAAGACTTGTTCTCCAGACCCTTAACCATTTGACACATTCTCAAGGAATGACACCCCTCTCCTGACACATTCCAGCTTGTCAACATCTCCCTTCAATTGTGGTGCCCAGAATTGGACACAGTGATTCCAGATAAAGTGGTCTGACCAAGGCAGAATAGAATAGAGGGATAGCACGACTTCCCTGGATCTAGACACAAGAGTGAGTTCTTTGTGTGTTCCTGCATGGTAAGGGTTCAACTTCATGATCCTCGTGGTGTCTTCCAACTCTACAATTCAATGAATATGGCTACATCTCAAGCCTGTTTGGTTGTCCCTCCTATGGGCCACCATTACAGCCACAGTCTGGTCCCTGCAATTGCCACAGAAAGGTGGTCTTCCTAACCCTTGGCCATCTCAGTTGAGGTGATTGTGTCTTGATCCACTTAGGATTTATTGAAACGCAACAACGCAACCAACTGCCGGTTGGGAGAGCTGGTCCTGGCGAAAGCCCGCAGACTTGTGTTCTGAAGTGCTCCCTGTAGCTCCAACCAGTTCAACCATAAAGTTCCTCTAGTGAAGAATAGTAATAATAATAATAATAATAAACATCAATCATTAAAAAACAAAACCTTAAATAACACTTATGGTAAAAAGCGTCTTTTAAATTACATGTCTGAACTGCAAAAGAACAAAAGAAGAAGAAGAATTGACTAGGTTATCATGGTTCATCAAATACAGGAGCAAATATTCGTACACACAGTTCGGTTTTTCTGGAGTTGCGGCTGGGAGGCACCTCCGAAGGTCGCGGGTGTGGTTCTGGGCCAGGACAATGATTAATATGCATTCTTTTAATGGTTTTCTTCATTCCCCCCCCCCCCCTCCACCCAACCCCAAGATTTGCTTTACAGCCCATGTTTGCAAAGTGAGAGTATCCTGCACAGAACTAGAGCAATGAGGTGGATAAGGAAAAGCAGAGAGGGGTTGGATTGCGGTGGACGAATGACAATGGCGCCCCAAAATGTAAACACGAATGAAGATGATACAGCAAGAGGTGCAGCAGCAGCAGCCAAAAACATAAAGAAGGCAACACATTCCTAGCTTTTCTGCATCTGACTCTGGTTTCACGGCATACGTCATGTCGGGGCCATTCAAAATGCTTTCCCTCCCCTACATTGCAGTCCATTTAGTTCCCAGCTTTTCTTCTAACAAGATGCTTTACAGTCAAATTTAATAGTACAGTATACACTTTATACAAACTATATACAAATAGACCTCTTGAGAATGACTCGCATCCTTCAACACGGGTGCCAATTACCCTATATACTCATGAAGAAGTCTATACATTTTTTTGATAAAAATCAACCCTCCCAAAAAACCTGGATCAGTGTAAATATTGTACCTTAACTTTGATCAACTGTCTCCTTCTCTGAGCTCTTGTGAAAGGCAAGAGCTTGAGACCATCCCAGGAGAACCTAAAAGAAACATTGACCCTCCTCCTCTCCACTGATGGTCTTTTCAAATATCTGGATAAGGAAAGGGGCCTTAGTATTTTCCCATCTCTGAGACAGACCAACTTGTCCATGGGTCATATTGTCATGAATAAATATGATATATAGTTTGAATGAACTGTATGAAAGTTGTATGGATGGGGCCTAATTTGGCTCAAGACACCATTCTGAAAGATTAAGGCCTGCAATGACTAACTACCTGCTTGCTGAACTGTAATTAAAAGTTGCTGACATTGATAAGAACTGTGACAAGTGATTAACTGCTGAACTTTTGGGGGAAAACAATGTGTTTACATCTGTTTATCAGAGAAAATTGCTGTTTTAAGTTAAAGAAATGTTTATAGTGTTAAGAAGGAAGTCAAAACAAGGCTGCTTGCGTTATCAACACCAATTACGAAGAGTCAACATCTGCCAGGAAACTGAGATGGAATCAACATGTTTCAAGATGACAAAACGTCTATCATTAATTTAAAACTTTGGGACAACGCCAGCAAATTATTGCTACATAAGAGACCTTATTACAATCCAAAACTTGTGGCCAACCATAGTCTGGTCTTGTGGCAGACCACGGTCTGGTCCACCCGCCATATTCGAGAGAGAGATGGTATATGTATTTGGGAGTGTCAGATCTGCAGTGGAACACAGTCTGTACACTTTGCCTCCTTTTCTCAAGGGAAGAGTGGGGAGTGCATTTTGGAGTCATGTTCTCAGGGAAAGAGGATGCATTTTGGAAGCATTTTGGAGTTTTGGAACTGTGTGTCGGCAGATCTGCAAGGAAGCAGTTCGGCCTAAGAGTTGTCTTCACAGAGGAAGAATGGTGAAATGGTGATGTATGCATGAGAATGAATGAATGTTTATATGTGTGTGAATGCTGAGTAAAAATGGAATTCCCCTTTGTTTGTTTGTTATCCAATATAACTGTAGTTTGTGAATCTGTATGGCTGTATGTACAATGTTGTTCTTTGTGTAAATGTTGTTCTGTAAAAGCTCTGATACCATTTCTCTTACTGGAAAATTGCAATAAAAAGACCTTATTACAATCCAAAACCTGTGGCAGACCAGAGGAGTCTGCCACATTTTAAAGTTATTGAAAAGTTATTCATAACAATATCAAAATCTATAAATTTGGCTCCAAGATCTTGAATTATACACAATGTCGGCTTATACATGAGTATATATGGTACTTCAAAGCTACAATTCCTAAACCTGAATTATGGTAATCTTGGTCTATTTGGGAAGTACTTCCAAGAGAAGGCAGCCAACCTAAGAGGAGGAGAAAACAGGGTTTTCTCTTAATGGTGAAAATCCATCCCCTGTGAAAGTGACCTGTACAGAATTAGAGCAATTTATGAGGCCAGAGAGTAGAATACAGCTTTCTGGTGGGTTTTCAGCCTTCTACAAATGGAGCCCAAACACCAATCACATGGGGAAGGGTACACAGCCATAGCACAAGCAAACTACAACTGTCCTCCACACAGTCAACCTTCTACTGTCTATCTTTCCCTCAATGCTAGGTGGTCAGTAAATAGTAAAAAGCCACTTTTCCACACAGTAAGTGCTATAGAAATAATGGTCCAACATTCAGGTGGCTCCTTCTCAATCTGACAACTCTTACAGCTTCACCTCAATGAAATGGTCTAAATGTGCCCAAAGTAAATGGGAAAGCAGATCTCTTTGTCCAAAGACTAAGCAGCTTTCCAACCCTGCCATCACCTTCCAAAACCTGACTCTTCTATGATCTCCTTTAAACATATCTCAAGGACAATGTGATGAGAACCAAACTATGGGGTTAGAATTAGGCTAGCAAAAAGAATAATTGTCAAAGGCTTTCAAATCTGGAATCATTGGGTTGGTGTTGGGCTGGCTGAACTTTCTGGTGCCAGTCCGCTGCCTTTGCCACAACCTCCTTGGCACAGCCGATGTCTCTTTTATGCCTTAAATGTGTCTTCACTGCCAAAACTGGGTCTGAGCCACACTCCAGACCTCCTGCGCTTTTTACGGTCATATCTGCAGTCAAAGCTGGAATCATTGGGTTGGTGTAGGTTTTTCAGGCTATATGGCCATGTTCCAGAGGCATTCGCTCCTGCATCTATGGCAAGCATCCTCAGAGGTTGTGAGGTCTCACAACCTCTGAGGATGCTTGCCATAGATGCAGGTGAAACGTCAGGAGAGGATGCCTCTAGAACATGGCCATATAGCCATGTACCCAAAAAGAATAATTACATCAACCCAAAAAGAATAATTATTTTCCCAATTTGGGGGGGGGGGTGATTTCACCCATGTTGTTCTTCAAAATGATGATGCCCCACAATTATTTTCATGATTGTTTCTAATTTCTATGCCGGAAGAAACCAAGAAGGATTGGAATAAACATGATCTCAAAGTGGTTCTAATCTTCCCCTATGACAACCTGCTGTTCTGGACTCTCCAGTCTGTTCTCTCTACTATTTCCTTTCAAACTCAACTTTCCTGCCCTATCAAACATGCACACTGGTAATGCTATTCTGAAGATGACTTTGGCCCCTCCAAAACCATGTCAAACACCATCTTTGCTACCACCGCTGTTGGAATCAATCTCTTTAGCATCACGCTGACACCAGCAACCCATTTATCTAAAATATGGGGAAAGTACTATATTGTATCCCCATTAGAAGCTATTTCAGCTCCATCTCACCATCCTTCTAGCAGTTTTCAATTCCTCCTTCCTTTCTCTAGAAAAGACCTTTGACTGACTGATTGATTGATGGGCCAGTTGCCTCTCTAATGTGTTGGAAAGACTCCCCTGCAGTCCAATTACAGCTCTGATCAGAATTGGTCCAAGTGCAGAACCTGTCAAAGAGGATCTTCAGAGCATCAAAGGCAAATGTTGCAAAGCTGGGGAAACTTCTCCGATGACAAGTCCTTTCCCCAAGAGTCCACACTCCACTCCCAGCTGGATTTCTCAATTGCCCAACACCCTGCAAGTCCTCCCAACCTCTGCCATAGATGCAGGTGAAACATCAGGAGAGAATGCTTCTAGAACATGGCCATATAGCCCGAAAAACCTACAACCTTGCAAGTCCTTCCAAAGAAAACCCCAAGAAATGAAGACGAAGACCCCAAACAATGCCTAAAATAACACACATGGAGAGCATAAAGAATTCAAACCGGGGACCGCACCAAAAAATTGGAAACACCTGCCTGTTAGAAGGTGGACACTGAAAGACACTGTCAAGAGGACATTACAGGAACAATAAAGGGAGACTAGGGACTAATTCAACTTCATATTGACTCTCAATGGAAATCAGGGCAAGACTGATCTTACAGCACCAGCAGAATGTCTCAATATATAAACCTCTTTCTCTGCAGTCTTTTCAGCCCTGGCTATTGTCAGTTGAACCTCACTTTGTCTAATGCTTGTTAGCAGCCCCCCAGATTGAGTTGTCCCAAATTTGCAGAGCCTAACCTTGTTGCAATAGAGTCTTCTCTCGTTTCTGCTTGACCTCCCCTGTCTTTGGCCCCAAAGGCCTCCTTCCCAGATAGGAGACCATCTCTTCCCCACTGACTCGGGCTGTATTTCAAACTAATTGGCCCCTGGTAACTTCAACCAATCCAAAGGTATCTACATTGGCACCAAAAGGAAAGTGCTCCTGACTCCTCATGTGTCTCCCTGCAGATTTGGACCATTTCACACAAGCAAACTGGAGTGTATGTCAGTAATGTGACTTTTGGGGAATGGAAAGAATGCTTGCTGAAAGCAAAAACTATGGAACCAAAAAGTGTGAGGTAAAGGTAAAGGTTTTCCCCTGACATCATCCAGTCGTGTCCAACTCTGGGGGTTGACACTCATTTCTAAGCCAAAGAGCCGGCGTTGTCCGTAGACACCTCCAAGGTCATGTGTCCGCATTACTGCATGGAGCACCATTATCTTCCCGCTGGAGCAGTACCTATTTACCTACTCACATTTCCATGTTTTCAAACTGCTAAGTTGGCAGAAGGTGGGGCTAACAGTGGGAGCTCATCCCGCTCCCCGGATCTGAACCGGCGACCTTTCGGTCAACAAGCTCAACAGCTCAGTGGTTTTAACCCACTGTGCTACCGGGTGCAGTGAGCTGCTAAATGGAACCAAAGCTTGTAAAGGTTTCAGAAGTTCAGAAATGGGACATTTTATACAGGGGAGATCTTTGATTGAACTTGCAGATTGGTAGAGTGACCTGTCCATGAAACTAGTCATCAGAAGACATTTGCAGTTGAGGGGCATTCCTTCTTTCATTCTATGGAAGCAACTGGTCAAGCTGAGAGCGAATGGTGATACTTGCTTTGATTAATCATAAGCCAAATGTGATGTTATTAATTACTCAAATGTTGTATTTCATTATTCTACTTTCACTTGACTTAGCCGAAGGTTTGTTGACTGAAATAAAGGCTACTGAACTGAACTGAACTGAACTGGTCAAGCCTGACATCTTTCAGGCTCAAAAATCTTTCCTTTTAGTTGCAGTTGCATTCCTTTCTGCTCTTGACTGACCTCTCCTCAACCTCCACAAAACCTTCCAAGTTGGGAAGATGTTAAACTCCTATAAAAGCAAGAGAATGGCTCTTGTCAATGTGTTATCCCCTGCTAGCATGCACCCTCATCAGGCTTTCCTTGTTCCCGTTGCAATGGGGTGATGTGTATGAGTAAAATATGCACAGACACCACAATGTAAAAATACACACAAGCCAAAGCTCTAGATGACGAGCAGCTCTCCTGCTTCCTACAACAGAAGGGGCTTGATTTGTGTCATCCCTTCCTCTAAAAAAAGAAAGAAAGAGGGGACAAGTCCTAACTTTCAGCACAGATAATGAACTGTAAATCTAATTCCAACATCTATCTGGAAGACACCCATTTTCACATATTGCGTAATAATCCAACATATATTGAGACAGAGACAGGTAGAATGATATGAATGGGAGTGAAATGGGGGAAAGACACACCTGCCAATGCTGTGCTTTTTCTTCTTCTCCACTCTCTCCCTTTCTAACCCTGAACATCAATCATTCTTGCTTGCAAAACCAAAATGGACTCTAAGGAATGAAATGCACAACATCCAAAGACGTCTGCAACTCTTGAACTGAGGAATGAGGTGGAAGGTGCAAAACGGAGAAGCGTGAGTATTGCTTAGCATCTGCAGCAGCGTGAAACCATTCCCAGGGCGATGGTGTGGAGGAAGAAGCAAAAGGAGGCAAGAGCTTGGGCCCGAGGGGAGGGAAATGGCTTCAGAAAAAGAAAGGAAGGAAGAAAACCCAAGATGAACAGAAGCAAGCTTTAAAAAAAACAAAAACGAAAACCCTTAAGAATGCATCGAGTGACCCTTTGTACTTTGTGTGTTCTTGCTAACAGACTTGGTGCCTTGAGACCGCTGCTCCAGCACCGATGTAAGACTTGAGTTGTTGCATACAATGTTTGACTCCAGATCTGTAAGAGAAGAGGGAGGGAAGAGAGAGAGAAAGAGAGAGAGAGAGAGAAGGGTCATTCCCACAGAAAATAGAAGATATCATGCAGAATCAGCAAAGGTACACTTCTCACCCCACCCACTTAATCAAGTTCTCTCTTCTGGCCAATCGATTTATTTATTTATCGTGTCAGGAGCAACCAGACATTTGTATTACATTTTTAACAAAACAAACAAACAGACAGACAAAACACGAAGCTTGGTAGTTGATTAAATGTCCTTTGACCAGTATCTGGCCACTTGGTGTGCCTCTGATGTTGCCACAAGAAGGTCCTCCGTTGTGCATGTGGCAGGGCTCAGGTTGCATTGCAGCAGGTGGTCAGTGGCTTGCTCTTCTCCGCACTCGCATGTCGTGGATTCCACTTTGTGCCCCCATTTCTTGAGGTTGGCTCTGCATCTCGTGGTGCCAGAGCGCAGTCTGTTCAGCGCCTTCCAAGTCGCCCAGTCTGTGTGCCTCTCATTGGGTATCAGCCATTGATTGAGGCTCTGGGTTTGAGCCTGCCACTTTTGGACTCTCGCTTGCTCAGGTGTTCCAGCGAGTGTCTCTGTATATCTTAGAAAACTATTTCTTGATTTAAGTCATTGACATGCTGGCTGATACCCAAACAGGGGATGAGCTGGAGATGTCCCTGCCTTGGTCCTTTCGCTATTGGCTGCTGCTTCCCGGCAGATGTCAGGTGGTGCAATACCGGCTAGACAGTGTAATTTCTCCAGTAGTGTAGGGCGCAGACACCCCATGATAATGCAGCATGTCTCATTAAGAGCCACACCCACTGTTTTAGCGTGGTGAGATGTGTTCCACATTGGGCATGCATACTTAGCAGCAGAGTAGCATAACGCAAGGGCAGATGTCTTCACTGTGTCTGGTTGTGATCCCCAGGTTGTGCCAGTCAGCTTTTGTATGATATTGTTTCTAAAATCCACTTTTTGCTTGGTATTCAGGCAGTGCTTCTTGTAGGTCAGGGCATAGCCAATCGATAGGAACTGGGAAGGTTCAGCTCAATGAAGAGATGACTGAGGAACAGCATGGGATCCCTTTGATATAACTCAGGGGTGCTTTGAATGCGATTTTCCTGCTTCTTGGCAGAGCATTGTACTGGATGGCCCACAAGGTCTCTCCCAACTCTAGGATTCTATGATTCTAACTCAGGCAGGTCCTCCATATGTGTTGGACTTGGAGTCATAGAATCACAGAGTTGCAAGAGACCACAAGTAGCATCCAGCTCAACCACATTCTACCATGTAGGATTCCAGCCCTCCCAACAGATGCCCATCCAGTCTCTTTTCAATAGTTTCCAGAAATGGAAACTCCATCCAAGATAGAATATTCTATTGTCCAACAGATCTTATCATCCGGAAGTTTTTCCTAATGCTTACATGGAACCTCCTGTCCTGCAATTTGAATCCATATCTCCATTGTGTCCCAGTCTCTAGAGCAGTGGTTCTCAACCTGTGGTCTGTGGACCACTAGTGGTCCGCAAGAACTAAAATATGGTCCAAAGCCTCACTGTTACTACATTGTTGCAACAAGAGTGACTGGTCTCGTGAAACTCTCTTATAGTACCGAGGCTTATTAAATATGGTTTTCTGTGAACAAGCAGGTGATGACTACTGGATGGCATATGTTCTGTATCTGAAACTAGAGCTGATGTGGTCTATCCAATGCAATTGTCTGAATCAGCACCCCAAATAACCAAACCGAAACTAAAGTTGACCAAAAACTGATTTGTAACCCTTTTGGAGAGTGTTCCCTGGTCAAAGTGGCCCTTGGTCAAAAAAGGTTGGGAACCACTGCTCTAGAACAACAGAAAACAAGCTTGCTCCCTCTTCAATGTAACATCCTTTCAAATATTTAAACATGGCTCTCATGTCCTTTTCAGCCTTTTCTTCTCCAAGCAAAACATATCCAACAACCTAAGCTACTCTTCAGAAGGTTTGGCTTCCAGATTTATGATCGGTTTGGCTGCCTTTTTCTGGACACGTTCTAGATTGTTAATATATTTCTTGACTTGTGGTGCCTAGAACTGGACACAGTATTCCAGACTTCAGACCTGTTGGACTGCAACTCTGAGGTGTCCTAGCCAACTCGGCCTATAACCATGGAATCTGGGAGCTGATGTCCAAAACATCTGAAGGGCCAATTATTGGGGGGCACTGACTCAAGGGATACCCCTGAGAAGAATGGGCAGACTCAGTGTCTGCTGTCCCAAAGGGTAAGACTAGGTCTAATTCATAGAATCATAGAATCAAAGAGTTGGAAGAGACCTCATGGGCCATCAGTCCAACCCCCTGCCAAGAAGCAGGAATATTGCATTCAAATCACCCCTGAGAGATGGCCATCCAGCCTCTGTTTAAAAGCTTCCAAAGAAGGAGCCTCCACCACACTCCGGGGCAGAGAGTTCCACTTGCTGAACGGCTCTCACAGTCAGGAAGTTCTTCTCATGTTCAGATGGAATCTTCTTTCTTGTAGTTTGAAGCCATTGTTCCGCGTACTAGTCTCCAAGGAAGCAGAAAACAAGCTTGCTCCCTCCTCCCTGTGGCTTCCTCTCACATATTTATACATGGCTATCATATCTCCTCTCAGCCTTCTCTTCTTCAGGCTAAACATGCCCAGTTCCCTAAGCCGCTCCTCATAGGGCTTGTTCTCCAGACCCTTGATCATTTAGTCACCCTCCTCTGGACACATTCCAGCTTGTCAATATCTCTCTTGAATTGTGGTGCCCAGAATTGGACACAATATTCCAGGTGTGGTCTAACCAAGGCGGAATAGAGTATGGGGAGCATTACTTCCCTAGATCTAGACACTATGCTCCTATTGATGCAGGCCAAAATCCCATTGGCTTTTTTTGCCGCCACATCACATTGTTGGCTCATGTTTAACTTGTTGTCCACGAGGACTCCAAGATCTTTTTCACACGTACTGCTCTTGAGCCAAATAACCGAACCAAATCTCAAGTTGACCAAAAACTGATTCGTAACCCGTTTGGAACTAATGTTGGAGAGTGGTCCCTTGGTCCTTGGTCAAAAAAGGTTGGGAACCACTGCTCTAGAACAACAGAAAACAAGCTTGCTCCCTCTTCAATGTAACATTCTTTCAAATATTTAAACCTGGCTCTCATGTCCTTTTTAGCCTTTTCTACTCCAAGCAAAACATATCCAACCACCTAAGCTACTCTTCAGAAGGTTTGGCTTCCAGACTTATGATCAGTTTGGCTGCCCTTTTCTGGACTCGTTCGAGATTGTCAATATATTTCTTGGCTTGTAGTGCCTAGAACTGGACACAGTATTCTAGACTTCAGACCTGTTGGACTGCAACTCTGAGGTGCCTTAGCCAACTTGGCCTATAACCATGGATTCTGGGAGCTGATGTACAAAACATCTGAAGGGCCAATTATTGGGGGGCACTGACTCAAGGTCCACCCCTGAGAGGAATGGGCAGACTCGCTGTCTGCTGTCCCAAAGGGTAAGACTAGGTCTAATGGTTTACAGTTACAGTATGTTTTGATTAAATATTAGAAGAGACTTCTTGACAAGAACAGGGAATGGCAATGGAAACAACTGCCCAGAAAGGCAATGAGATCTCCTTCTTTGGGCATCTTCAAAAAGAGGCTGGAGATCCTGCCTCGAGCAGAGAGTTGGGACTCAATGGCCCATGGGACCCTTCCAACTCTTCTATGAACCCTTGGAATGATGTTTCCCCAAGATGAAGATTTCTCCTTCAGCTAAACCAATGTTTCCCTCTGGAGACTCCCTGTTTAAAACCCTCACAGGATTTGAATTTTGCTTTTCAGATGTGCTCTGTCAGTAGTGGCAATTCACACGAGGAGAGCAGCAATTAAGGAAAGGCCTCAAAGGACTGTTTAACACCACACGGGCCCAAGTGGGACGCTTCTGCATGCTACCTCGATCCAGAAGTGTAAAATTTCTTGAGGAACAGAATACAGTCTGAGGGAGGCTTCACAGATAGCACTGTACCCCTTTCCACCTGGAAATGTATGCCCTCACTGGTCATTCCACAGATATATAAATTTATTTATTATTTATTTACAGTTCTTATATTCCGCCCTTCTCACCCCGCAGGGGACTCAGGGCGGATTACAGTAAACACATATATGGCAAACATTCAATGCCAGTTTTACAAACAACGTTTAACAGACAAATACACCGAGGCTATTTAACTTTTTTCTGGCCGCCAGGGGAGCTGCTGCTTTTCATCGTCCATCAAGGACACCAATGAAGTTCTTCCGCATTCCACATTCCCCGGAGTCTTTTTTCTTTATGGTCTCATAAATTAGTTAAATTTAGCCTCCCACACAAGGTGGTACCTTATTCTCCTACTTGACAGATGCAACTGTCTTTCGGGTTGCAAAGGTCGACAACGGGCTACACACAATTGGTTGGAAACCCACTCCAACCCGGGCTGGCTTCGAACTCATGACCTTTTGGTCAGAGTGATCTTAATGCAGCTGACACTCAGCCAGCTGCGCCACAAACCTTTTTTCCTAGTTCCATCAGACCTCACTACCCCTGAGGATGCTTGCCATAGATGCAGGCGAAACGTCAGGAGAGAATGCCTCTAGACCATGGCCATATAGCCCGAAAAAGCCTACAACAACCCAGTGATTCCGGCCATGAAAGCCTTCGACAATACATATGCCTTCACTGCTTAAGAAAGATTATGTGGATCCAGAATAAGGTTCTACAGTCACTTACGGACCCATCACCAAGACTCTACACTTGGAAGACAATCAGACTCGGCCACGAGGGATCGACTATGATGATGACTGACTGATACGGCAACCTCGCAAGCTCAGTTTTAACACTCTTGACAACAAAAGCCTTTGTCTTGTCATCTCCACCTTTCAGGTTGCTATGCCTTTTAAGTTATTGTTATGTGTGCCTTCAAGTTGTTTCTGACATATGGAGCCCATAAGACCAACCCAATGGCACAGTGGGTTAAATTACCGAGCTGCTGAACTTGTTGATTGAAAGGTTGCAGGTTTGAATCCGGAGAGCGGCATGATCTCCTGCTGTCAACTTCAGCTTCTGCCAACTTAGCAGTTCAAAAACACACAAATGTGAGTAGATCAATAGGTACCGCTCTGGTGGGAAGGTAATGGCGCTCCATGCAGTCATGCCAGCAACATGACCTTGGAGGTGTCTACAGACAACACCGGATTTTCTTGGTTAGACCACATCTGGAATATTGTGTCCAATTCTGGGCATCACAATTTAAGATAGATATTGACTAGCTTTGTTTGACTTGCGTGACAAACAAAGAGTTTGGACATCCTGTGACAGCAACCACCAAGTTTCACTTGCAAAAGGTTGACAGACTGATTCAGGACGATTGTCGTATTATTAAAATATTCCCATCCAGGGTTGTTGTAGGTTTTTTCGGGCTGTATGGCCATGGTCTAGAGGCATTCTCTCCTGACATTTCGCCTGCATCTATGGCAAGCATCCTTAGAGGTAGTGAGGATGCTTGCCATAGATGCAGGCGAAACGTCAGGAGAGAATGGCCATACAGCTCGAAAAAATCTTCAACAACCCAGTGATTCTGGCTATGAAAGTCTTCGACAATACATATTCCCATCCAAACCCAAGTAATGAAGGTGAAGGCATTACTTATCATTCAATCCTTGTATTTTTTAAAAAAATCTTGTAACCTTACTTTCCGGATAACCCTCCTATTTATCTTTCTATCTATCTATCTATCTATCTATCTATCTATCTATCTATCTATCTATCTATCTATCTACCTACCTACCTACCTACCTACCTACCTACCTACCTACCTACCTATCTATCTATCTATCTATCTATCTATCTATCTATCTATCTATCTATCTATCTATCAGCAATCACTTGTGCCTGACTAAGATTGCAATGTGTCTACAAGGGCATGTAGAAGAAGAGAAGGCTGAGAGGAGATATGATAGCCACAAATAAATATGTGAGAGGAAGCCACAGGGAGGAGGGAGCAAGCTTCCTTTCTGCTTCCCTGGAGACTAGGACGCGGAACAATGGCTTCAAACTACAAGAGAGGAGATTCCATCTGAACATGAGAAAGAACTTCCTGACTGCGAGAGCCGTTCAGCAGTGGAACTCTCTGCCCCGGAGTGTGGTGGAGGCTCCTTCTTTGGAAGCTTTTAAACAGAGGCTGGATGGCCATCTGTCAGGGGTGATTTGAATGCAATATTCCTGCTTCTTGGCAGAATGGGGTTGGACTGGATGGCCCAGGAGGTCTCTTCCAACTCTTTGATTCTATGATTCTAGGGGCTGCTCCAAGAGACTTGCAAAACATAAACATAACAGGAATGGAAAGTCTACTTGTGACTGAAGGCGTTGACGAAGTCTTTTTATACCTGCCTAGCTCTCATTTCCTGATCGCCATCTGCCTCACCAGAAAATTGTTTTTAGTAAGATCACCACGAGGAAATGGGGAAGGAGTGCTGAAGAACACAGACTTTTGATACCGAGTTGCAGGAGCAAATCTGAAGCCAATAGTGTGATAATGATTCAGCTGAGAAAGAATAGGATTCTGCTTATTTATGCCTACCTAAAACAGGCAAAGCAAATGAGGCCACCCCTATTGTTTCCATATAAGATGTAGGGATGTCTCTGAAGAATGTGGAAATTTGTGTTGGCCAGAATCACTGGGTTGCTGTGAGTTTTCCAGGCTGTTTGACCATGTTGCAGAAGCATTCTTTCCTGGCGTATCGCCCACATCTATGGCAGGCATCCCCAGAAGTTGTGAGGCCTATTGTCGAAGGCTTTCATGGCCGGAATCACTGGATTGTTGTAGGTTTTTTCAGGCTATATGGCCATGGTCTAGAGGCATTCTCTCCTGACGTTTCGCCTGCATCTATGGCAAGCATCCTCAGAGGTAGCTCTGAGGATGCTTGCCATAGATGCAGGCGAAACGTCAGAAGAGAATGCCTCTAGACCATGACCATATAGCCCGAAAAAACCTACAACAACCCAGTTGTGAGGTCTGTTAGAAATGAGACAAGGGAGGTTTATATATCTGTGGAATGATGTCAAGGGTGGGAGAGAGAACTCTTGTCTGTTGGAGGGAAGTCTGAATGTTGCAATTAGCAAGCTTGATTAGCACTCAATTGCCTCGCAGCTTCAAGGCTTGGCTGCTTCCTGCCTGGGGGATACTTTGTTGGGAGGTGTTAGCTGGCCCTGATTGATTCTCGTCTGGAATTCCCCTGTTTTATGAGTGTTGCACCAGGAGTGTGGCGCAGCTGTCTGAGTGTCAGCAGCATTAAGATCACTTCTGACCACAAGGTCATGAGTTCGAAGCCAGCCCAGGTCGGAGTGAGCTTCCAGCCAATTGTGTAGCTTGTTGTCGACCTTTGCAACCCGAAAGACAGTTGCATCTGTCAAGTAGGAAAATTAGGTACCACCTATGTGTGGGGAGGCTAATTAAACAAAATTTACGAGTCCATAAAAAAGACTCCAGCAAAGCACTCCAGCAAAAAGCATGCGGGGAATGAGGAATGTGGAAGTAACTCATCAGTGTCGCAGATGGACGATGAAAGCGACAGCTCCCCTGGCGGCCAGAAAAAGTTAAATAGCCTCTGTCTGTTTGTCTATATCTGTTGTGTGTCTTTGGCATTGAATGTTTGCCATGTATATGTACATTGTAATCCGCCCTGGGTCCCCTGCGGGGTGAGAAGGGCGGAATATGAATACTGTAAATAAATAAATAAAAAATAAATATTTACTGTGCTTGCATGTTAACAATTTCAACAAAAAGGAAGAAACCATGAAAATGAACAAAATCTGGCTACAAGTTTTAAAAAAACTCTAAAATCAGGACAGTAAATAAAGAACAACACTAAAAAAAACCCAGGGGAATTCCAGACAAGAATCAATCAAGGCCAGCTAACAAAGGATTCCCCCAGACAGCAACCAGCCAGACTTTGAAGCTGCAAGGCCATTCAATGCTAATCAAGGTGGCCAATTGCAACATTCACACTTGCCTCGAACAGACAAGAATTCTTTCTCCCACCCTGGACAATCATTCCACAGATATTATCAACCCCACTTGCCTAGTTTCCAACAGACCCCTCAACCTCTGAGGATGCATGCCATAGATGTGGGCAAAACGTCAGGAGAGAATGCTTCTGGAACATAGCCAGACAGCCCAGAAAACTCATCACAACCCAATATTTTAAATAATTTTCTGCACGAAAGAGTTTGTGTACATTGAACCATCAGATGGCAAAGACATCACTATCTCAGCCACCAAAGTGGACAGTTTTGGAATATTTTGGATTTGAGATAAGAGATGCGCAACCTGTACACTTACACGGCTTACCCAGCTGTAAAGTCATACTTTGGAAAAGCCTCTTTGGGACACATTGCTTGGTTTGGGGTTTCCAGGAGTTCTCTCCCATCAAAGCAACTTTTCCAAACTCTACAAAATACATGTTCTTACTTTCTGAAACCACTTATTCCTTGTTCTAAGAATAAGAACAAATACTGCATGTTGGATTTCCACTCAGATATTCTTTTGGGAGTGCTTCCCCCAGTTCCAGAGCCCTGGCCGAGATAGATCTACCTGTAAACGACCCCTTTGGCCTGCTAGCAGCAATTTGGTGCCACTTACGTGGATTGGCTAATGAGATTACCAGTGGGGAGGTACATAGCTGTAGGCAGGGGTCCCTTGAGCCCTGTACGTTGGCACCGAGACGGGATGTGCTCCAATTGCAGTGTGCTGAGGAGTGGTCAACAGAGTGCCTGAAACAAGACGAGAGAAAGGAGGAGAGTCAGAACGGAGGGAGAAGCTCAGCCCTGGCACATCCAGCTTGCCCACATTGGCTTCTGAACTAAGCAGGGTCCCAAAGGAAGAAGAAGCAGGATTCCCCTTGAAGCGTATGGCTTGGCTCACTGGCATGAGCCGCTTGCAAGCCGAAGAATCCTTAGAGCAGTCACTTGGGGACTAGGCTGCATAGAAAACAAAGGGCATTGAGAAGCTGTCCAGAAAAGGGTGACCAAAATGGTCAAAGGTCTGGAAGCCAAGCCCTACAAGGAGAGGCTTAGGGAGCTACCTATGAGGGTTGTATGAAAAGTAATGCCTCCACCTTTGTAACTCCTCAACAGATGGTAGTACTGGCATGCGGCAGGTACTGGCTTGTTCAGTAGACTCTCCTCTATAGTTCCATTTTGGCAGGAAGCCTTAGCATTGAACAGTTGTGTTGTTAAAGTACGAAGTATGGAAACCTGCACAGACGGTCAATGCGACTTAAGCAACGTGCAGTCATTGAATTCTTTTTTTATTTAGATTTTTATTTGAAAAGAGAAAAAACAGTTATATAGACATATGCTATACATTTCCTTCTCTTTTATTTACATTCATCCCTGTGCTCCCCTTCTCCAGAGCCATCTCTTTTCTTAAAATCCCAACAAATAATCAGTTCTTCATTAAGAGGTAAATTCCCATCTTCTTTTTCCAATAATTTTTTTCTAGAAATTTTCTCCAGATACTTTCAAAGTCATTTTTTTTACATAATCCCTTCTTTACTTTTAAGTTTGATGTCAGCTTATCGTTCAGTGCCATTTTCCAGATTTCATTATACCATTCATTAATCTGTATTTTCATTGCCCCTTTCCAATATTTTGCAATTAATAGTCTAGCTGCTGTTAATAGCATGTCTATTAATTTTCCCCCTCTTATCTTTCCCATCCTCTTTTTAAATTAAAAGTAATATTTCTATTGGATTCCTCCTAATTTTTATATCCATTATATTTTCTATTTCTGTTATAACCAATTCCCAAAAATCTTTTACATATTTGCAGTCCCACCACATATGCATGTAGGTTCCAATTTCTTGGCATCCTCGCCAACATTTTTCATTATTGTTCTTATTTATAATGTTTAACCTTCTCGGTGTTAAATACCATTTCCAAATTAGTTTGTAATAATTTTCTTTTATTCTAATTGACATGTTTTAAGTGTCTTGCTTTCCATATCTCTTCCCATTCTTTTTCAGTTATCATTGTTCCTACTTCTTCCTCCCATAATTTTCTTAATGTTAATCTTTTCTTTTTTCCTGTGTCTTTAATTAGTATTTTATATATTTTACTTGTTGTTCCTTTTAATTGCTCGCCATTTTCTCTTTTTAATTCTTTTATTATCAATTCCTCAAATTGTGTTATTTGTTTCCCAGTTTTATTTCGGACCCACCAATTGTTATTCCATTTTTCTAATTGAATCCAATGGAGCCAAGAAATGTTTATACCTCTCAATTCTTTTCTCATGGTTGATCAATGCGACTTAAGCAACATGCAGTCATTGAATTCTTAACAGCAGAAGGTATCACCCCAAAGGAGATTCATCAGAGAATGCAAGCTGTTGATTGTGATTGTATTGATGTGAGTACTGTGCATCGTTGGGTGAGTAAGTTTAAAGATGTTGAAGTGACACCTTCTGCTGCCAAGAATTCAATGACTGCATGTTGCTTAAGTCACATTGACCAACTGTCTGCACAGGGTTCCATACTTCGCACTTTAACAACACAACTGATCAATGCTAAGGCTTCCCGTCAAAATGGACCTGTAGAGGAGAGTCTACTGAACAAGCCAGTACCTGCCGCATACCAGTACTGCCACCTGTTGAGGAGTTATGAAGGTGGACGCATTACTTTTCATTCAACCCTTGTATGTGTTTCTGCATGGCATGGGGTTGGACGGGATGGCCCTTGTGATCTCTGAGAAAGGGGCCCTCATTGTCTGTGTTGATTGGAGACAGGTGGGAGGGGGAAGACTGTGCAAACAGCCTGTGGATGGACCCTTTGGGGTCCAGCTTGGGAACAACACCCCAGTATTTGCTGAATTAAAAAAAAAACCTTGTTGTGATTCCTGAGAGACCAATGGGAAAGGAGAGCAATCCCTCCACACCCCTGTCAAACAGGCCATGCAAAGAGCCAGTCCCTTACCTCCAAACATGTGCATGCCTGCACCCGTGTGGTACCCAAACAAATAGACCTTCACTGGGGGAGAAGGGGACGGGGCAGGAGCTGGCAGATAAAGGAGGCCATTTTATTTCAGCTGAGGGTCTCAAGCATTTTTTTTGCACAATTTGCTACAGAAATTAAGAGACAATAATCCAGGAAAAAATGAAATGCATAGACATAGAATGGGTGACACCTGGCTTGACAACAGACCATGTGAAAGGAATCTATGAGTCTTAGTGGACCACAAGCTGAACAGGAGTTAACAGTGTGATGTGGCAGCAAAAAAGCCAATGCAATTCTAGGCTTCAGCAATAGGAGTAGAGTGTGAACGAGGGAAGTCATAGTCCCACTCTCTCCTGCGTTTATCACACCTCACCTGGAATAAGACTGTGTCCAGTTCTGAGCACCACAAACTCAAGAAATATATTGTTGTGGTTCAGCCAGAGGATGAAGACAAAGAGATTGTTCAGTCAGAGGTTGTGAGGAATGATGGGCTTTCCAGTTGGGTTTTTGAGTTATGTTAATTCCAGAAACGAACATCACATTTTTATTTATATAGATGATACATGTTAGGAAAATGTGTCTCACTGAGGGCCCTTGTGGCTTTCTCTCCATCTCACCTGCTGACATTGCCATGGTGGTCCCAGCTACCATCCCCATGGTCACGCCGTTAGTCCTCTGGGCAGCCACGGGGGCAGGATAAATAGCAGACGGGATGCTGTTTGGCTGGACCACGGTGGTGTGATGGATGACATGAGGCTGCGCTGCATACACCGGCTGTGTGTAATATGCTCCCTGTTTGGAAAGGGGGAAAACGAAGGAAAGAGAGCCATATTTTAGTAAACTTGATTTTTTAACAAATCAGCAACTCCACATTGCCTCAATAGGAGTATAGTGTCTACGTTAAAGGAAGTAAGAGCACCACTCTATTCTGCATTGGTCAAACCTCACCTGGAATAACTGTCTACTTTAAAAGGCATTTAAAAGGTTCTTGTATTTCATTTACAATGACACAGAATATTAGGCACTTTGCAGAGAAAGTACAGCTACATTAGGTGCACAAACAAAGGGGGTATTACATTTTACTTCAGCATTCACACACACAAAACATTCATACATACATACATACATACATTACCATCTCTTCTTCCTTCTCCTAGCCATGAATAAATATGTGAGAGGAAGCCACAGAGAGGAGGGAGCAAGCTTGTTTTCTGCTTCCCTGGAGACTAGGACGTGGAACAATGGCTTCAAACTACAAGAGAGGAGATTCCATCTGAACATGAGGAAGAACTTCCTGACTGTGAGAGCCATTCAGCAGTGGAACTCTCTGCCCTGGAGTGTGATGGAGGCTCCTTCTTTGGAAGCTTTTAAACAGAGGCTGGATGGCCATCTGTCAGGGGTGCTTTGAATGCAATATTCCTGCTTCTTGGCAGGGGTTGGACTGGATGACCCATGAGGTCTCTTCCAACTCTTTGATTCTATGATTCCTGGAAAAGAGACCTGCATGTAGGCAGGATTGTGTTCCCTGCAAATCTACCATTCTGCGAATACACCATCTTTCTCCATCCCTCGGAGACTTTACTTACTTAGGTGATCCCTTGTAGCTCAAGAATGATGGTCCTCCAAGGTGATGATCCTCTTGGTGACCGTGAAACCCTATTCTTGATCCACATATTCTTCCGCAGTGAGGACATTGGTTTCTAAGTGGAAGGCAGTTCCGGTTGGGGTTGGCTTGATGAGCCTTCCTCTTGGCATGTTTCTCCCTTTTGCCGTCCATTCGTGCCTCTTCGAATTCTGCAGCACTGCTGGTCACAGCTGATCTCCAGTTAGAGCACTCAAGGTCCAGGGCTTCCAAGTTCTCAGTGTCTATACCACAGTTTTTGAGGTTGTCTTTAAGCCCATCTTTAAATCTCTTTTCTTGTCCACCTACATTTCATTTCCCATTCTTGAGTTTGGAGGAGAGTAGCTGCTTTGGGGGACGGTGATCGGGCATTCAGATAATGTGGCCAGTCAAGCAGAGTTGATGACATAGGAGCATCACTTCAGTGCTGGTGGTCTTTGCTTCTTCCAGCACGCTACATTTGTCCGTCTGTCTTCCCAAGAGATTTGCATGATTTTTTGGAGGCAACACTGATGGAATTCCAGGAGTTGAGTGTAACATCAGTAGACATTCCACATTTTGCAGGTGTATAGCAGGGTTGGGAGGACAATGGCTTTATCAACAAGCACCTTGGTCTCCCTACGGATGTCCCAGTCCTCAAACACTCTCTGCTTCATTTGGAAAAATTATGCACTTGCAGAGCTTGGGTGGTGTTGTATTTCAGTGTCAATGTTGACTTTTGTGGAGAGGTGGCTGCCAAGGTACCGGAAATGGTCAACATTCTCTAATGTTGGAGAAGACGGCAGGTGGACCAGACTTCTCCGGTCTGCCACAAGTTTTTGAATAGTAAAGTATATCTTATATAGCAATATTTCTGCTGATGTTGCTCCAAAAAGTTGTAAACGAATTACAGGTGTTTTTCAGCTAAAACTTGCTAACTCCCATCAGTTCCTGAGAGATGTTGACTTTTCTTTGTAACTGATAATTTGTTTTCCTTCTTAGTAAGGAATCATTGTAAACACACATTCTTAACTTAAAGAATCATTGTCTCTGGTAATGTAAACATGTTGTTTTCCACCAAGAGTTAATCACTGTCTCTGGTCATCGATGTCAGCAGTTCAGCAACTTTTAATTATAGTTCATTAATTGTTCTTTTGTAGTTTTCCAGGCCTCAGTCCTATGATGGCATCTCTAGCCCCTATAAGTCCCAACATACACCTTTCATTCAATTTCATTCAGACCACATCATCATCTATTCACCACATAACACTGTGTCCAATTCTGAACATCACAGTTAAAGAAGGGTATGGACAAGCTGGAAGGTTTCCAGAGGAGGGCAACCATAATGATCAAAGGTCTGGAAGCTAAGCTCTATAAGGAGCAGTTCGGGGAGCTGGAGATGTTTGGAAAAGAGAAGGCTGAGAGAAAGGAACATGAGAGACAAGTTTAAATATCTGAAAGGATGTCACACTGAGAAGGGGGCAAGCTTGTTTTCTGGTGCTCTGGAGACGAGGACATTTATTTAACATGGAGCAATGGATTCAAACTGCAGGAAAAGAGATACCACCTAATCAAGAGAAAGAACCACTTGAGCTGTTCAACTGTGGCATCAGCTGTTGCCTGACAGAGTCTCCTTCTATGGAGCTTTTTAAGTAGAGGCTGATGACTATCTGTCAGGAGGGCTTGGACTTTGTGTTCCTGCGTGGCAAAAAATGGTTGCACTGGATGGTTCTTGGGATCTATTCTTATTCTATGATTCTATACACGGAGCTTACTCCAACCTTTCCTTTAGATTAGTGCAGTGGTTCTCAACTTGTGGGTCCCCAGATGTTTTGGTCTTCAACTCCCAGAAATCCTAACAGCTGGTAAACTGGCTGGGAGTTGTAGGCCAAAACACCTAGGGACTTATAGGTTGAGAACCACTGGACTAGTTCCCAAGTTTTGTTTCTCCTTAGGGTTTGGACTTCAGATCCCAGAATTCCTGTCAGTCAAGTGAATTGGAACATCTGGAAGTTGAAGTCCAAAACATCTGGAGATGTGTAAACACACATTCTTAACTTAAAGAATCATTCTCTGGTAATGTAAACATGTTGTTTTCCATCAAGAGTTAATCATTGTCTCTGGTCATTGATGTCAGCAGTTCAGCAACTTTTAATTATAGTTCATTAAAAAAATTTTTTTTTTTTGTCGTGTCAGGAGTCACTCCTGTTGTGAGAGAATTGGCCGTCTGCAAGGACGTTGCCCAGGGGACACCCGGATGATTTGATGTTTTTATCATCCTTGTGGGAGGCTTCTCTCATGTCCCCGCATGAGGAGCTAGAGCTGATAGAGGGAGCTCATCCGCCTCTCCCCGGATTCGAACCGGGGAGATGAGAGAAATGATGATGGTGACGATAATTATGATTATTATTTCCTAAGAATTGAGGCAGGTCAAATACAGTAAAACATACAATAATTTAAAACACAGAGAAAAAATTAAAACACACATTAAAAGCAATCATACCAACAGGATGTGAATTACATTGTTCTAGAGCAGTGTTTCTCGAACTCTGCTCCTCCGGGTGTTTGGGACTTTAGGTCCCAGAAAACCCAGCCAGTTTACCAGCAGTTAGGAATTGTGGGAAATTCCTAACTGCTGGGAATTGTGGGAAATCCAAAACATCTAGAGGAGCACAGTTTGAGAAACACTGATTACAAGATGCAGGTAGAGTCTGTCTTTGGTTTGTGTACCAGTGCCTAGAAAACATGAGGTCTTCATCAGTCCATTACCGAATTGAGCTACCTGTAATTTCTATAAGGTGTACGTTGGAAATAGCAACCTTCCAAGCCTCCACTGACTGTTTGTTAATGTATATATTTGCTAACCTGTATTCTATGTGTATGTTGATTTGCCAGTTTGGCTTACTCTTTGGTGTGGGAGGAGCTATTGGCGTGATTGTACTGAGCACGTGCAGACTCAGGACTCCATTTTGTATTCAGTATGCTTTTAGACCTCAATGGAGGTGGATTGCAATTTGTCTCCTTTCAGACTTGAGTGAGTATAGATATGCTTAAAGACATTTAAAGACTATGTCCCTGTATGGTGAATATATACAGAAGTTTGTTAGTAAACCTGATAATGTTATTTTTTGAAAGAAGACAACTTTGTTTTGTCTCTTGAGTGCATGTTTTAAATAAGAGATTTTATGGGAGTGCATATCTTTTGGGCAATTGCAACTGCAAATTCTACTTCAACTATCCTCTGCTTTCAATAAGGTTATGTTGCGCTGGAATTTCCAATAGATTATGGAATTTCCAATAGTGCAATCTTGGTAACTTTGTCAAAGGACAAAGCAACCCAGCTTATATTTGTAGTTGGGGGGGGGGGGGGGGGGGTCCAAAAGGCACTTTCTATCTCTGTGCAACACCAATGTAACAAAAAAATAATAATAATACCTCCTACGTTTTGCAAGGGGGAAAAGAGAAGGAAGGTTGGAATTTTCTTCTGATGATTGGAAAGTGCATATCTTTTGGATAATTGAAATTGAATGCAATCTTAAAAGGCTCACAGCCTCTGAGGATGCTTGCCAGAGATGCAGGCGAAACGTCAGAAGAGAATGCTTCTAGAACATTTATTTATTTATTTATTTATTTCGTGTACTTCTACCCCGCTCTTCTCAACCCCCGAGGGGGGACTCAGGGCAGCTTACAAAAAGGCACAATTCGATGCCTACACAATAATACAAATAAACATGTAAAACAGCAATTAAAACAATTAAGACAGTTAAAACAATCAATATATATCACAGTCAATAAACCAATCTCAAGCTCAGCATTCGCCAACTCAGAGTCCATATTTCGTTCTACATTATCTATTCCTATCAGTCGTTGTGGTCCTTTATTCATCTGCCAGATTGCCCAAACGCTTGGTCCCAAATCCATGTTTTTAATTTCCTTCTAAAAGAAAGGAGGGATGTCGCTGATCTAATTTCCCCGGGGAGTGAATTCCATAGGTGAGGGGCCACCACCGAGAAGGCCCTGCTCCTTGTCCCCGCCAATCTCGCTTGTGATAGAGGCGGGGCTGAGAGCAGGGCCTCCCTAGAAGATCTTAAACTCCGAGGCGGGACGTAGAGGGAGATCCGTTCGGACAGATACGCTGTCCGTATGACCATATAGCCCCAAAAAACTCTACAACAACCCACTTAAAAGGCTCGTTGCCATTTTTTAAAAGAAATGCTGTTAATATCAAGTAGCATTTAAAAAGAAAATCGTTTGCAAATAATTTGCAAAAAATAGGCAAATAAGGACCTTAAGTTGGCCTCCAACCCCAAAAAACTGAGTTGACTTATCCGTGGGTCAATGTGAGTAGTGTAAGAGGAATAGTCAGCCTTCTCTTCTCCAAGCTAGTAAATAAGGGAACCATTCCATTCATTGAGGAGACTGTCAAAATACGAGAGCTTAGTCTGATATGGAGAACCTAAAAGAAGCACCAACAGCCTCTACTCTCTCCATCATGATGACCCTGGCCTTTTCTGAATGCCTGGATGTGGAAATGGCAGTGGGGGCCAGAGCAGATGGTCCTCTGAGGTGGCATTGGTGCTCTCCACCCTCCATATAGTCACCCTCGACTTATTCATGAGACATGTCAAAATCCATAATTTTGGGACCCAAATATATTCTTGACGTAGACAAGACCTCAACGTGTACATGAGAAAATGCAGACTGCCATGTTCATTTGGTGGGGGTGGGGTGATGAACAATTTGACACATAAAGACAGACATATATACACACCTGGGCATATAGGTTCTGCTGTGGATAGGCACTTCGGATAGGGTACATAGCAGTTTGGTAAGGATTTGGAGATGGAGAATACGGAGGAGGTGCGCTGTTACTCTGGGTAGGAGGGACCTTGTAGGGTGTTCCAGCGGTATACCCTGTTGAGAAACAAGAAGCAAGACCGGTCAAGGTGAGACATTAGATAGCTGCCCTTGGGTCAGTCTTGGATCTAAGCTGATACAGTGGTCTGATTGTGAACACTCAACAGAACCCGAGTCCTCGTTGTAGTACAGAAGGAGGACCATCAGCCTACCATCCTCGTATATTTGGCACAACATCTATTGCCCACAATTCAAACCACTCCCGACAGATGACCATCCAGCCTCTGCTTAAAAGCCTCCAAAGAAGGAGCCTCCACCACACTCTGGGGCAGAGAGTTTCACCGCTGAACAGCCCTCACAATCAGAAAGTTCTTCATTTTCAGGTGGAATCTCCTTTCCTGTAATTTGAAGCCATTGTTCCATTGTGTCAGAAAACAAGCTTGCTCCCTCCTCCCTATGGCTTCCCCTATTTATACATGGCTATCATGTCTCATCTCAGCCTTCTCTTTTGCAGGCTAAACATGCCCAGCTCTTTAAACCGCTCCTCATAGGGCTTGTTCACCAGACCCTTGATCCTTTGAGTCGCCCTCCTCTGGACACATTCCAGCTTAGACTCAACATCTCCCTTCAATTGTGGTGCCCAGAATTGGAAACAGTGTGATTCCAGGTGTGGTCTGACCAAGGCAGAATAGAGCATGGGGAGCATGACTTCCCTGGATCTAGACACTAGACTCCTATTTATGCAGGTCAACATCCCATTGGCTTTTTAGCTGCCACATGACATTCCAGGCTCATGTCCCCCTTCCTCCCCACGAGGACTCCAAGATCTTTTTCCCACGTCCTGCTCCTGAGCCAGGCATCGTCCCCTATTCTGTCCTTTGCATTTCCTTTTTCCTGCCTAAGTGGAGTCTCTTGCATTTGTGACTGTTGAACTTCATTTTGTTAGTTTTGTCCCATTTCTCTATACTTTCTCCTAATATACAGCAATGTAAGAGAATGAGGCTGTTTTTTGGCACAGTTTGACATACTGCTTTTCTTCCAACTTAAGTTGCCCAATGGATTGGGAGCACCAACTCTGATCCCAGTGCGGAAGCTGATGTTATCTCTGTTCCAGCCCTAATTAGGATCCCCATTGATCCCTAAGAGTACACAAATATGATTACCTTTCAAAGGTTGCAATATAAGTGCCAACAAATACTAAAAGAACTTGGCAAGTTGTGTCCCAAATGAGATAAGCTCTTAATTGGAGATGTGGAAGGCAGCCAGTTCTTGACCCATAAACTGTGCAAATGCAAAATTCATTCCAAAATCTAATATTGGGTCTAAACAACAGAGAAGCACAGGAAACAGATGGAAAATATAGGTATCCTCTCTGAAAAGGAACATATTGTAATTGTCTTCACTTTGACTGACCTCAGGACCAGGCTGAGTATTAACAAGTCAATTTTCAGATTTGGAATATGAGAGAAGTTGTGGAAGGCTAGGCAGCGGGATCTATTTCCTGTCACAAAAGAATATGGGCAGCCTTCCTGCAAACACTGCTGTGGATTGTCAGAAAGGTGCCATTAACACCTTGGAATGAGCAGTGCTGGATGCATCAAAAAGAAGGTATTTCACAAGGCATCTGTTGCCATATATTTAATTTTTTAAAAAGAGGCAAAAGCTACTTAGGGACTCAACGATGATTCTGTTGTCATGTATCAATGTAGTATGTGGCTTAGACATAGACTAATGCAAAGAGGTTCAATGCAGGTGTGTCCTGATGGGAAATGCAGACAGGATCAGACTCTTTCTTCGACAGGGACTTCGAGGTCTATCAAGAGATTTTGGGCAATTCAAAATTCATTCAAAATGTGATACCAGAGAAGAGTTAATGGATGCCATTAACTCTCCGAAAGAATAAACAAGCAAGTCCTAGAACAATGTTTCTCAACCTTCCTAATGCTAAGGCCCCTTAATACAGTTCCTCATGTTGTGGCAACCCCCAACCATAAAATTTTTTGTTGCTACTTCATAACTGTAATTTTGCTCCTGTTATGAATCATCATGTAAATACCTGATATGCAGGATGTATTTTCAAGAACTGGACCAATTTTGGCATTATTTATTTATTTCGGACCTTTGTATCCCGTCCTACCTCGACCTCCGCAGAGCGGCTAACATAGAATCATAGAATCAAAGAGTTGGAAGAGACCTCCTTGGCCATCCAGTCCAACCCCATCCTGCCAAGAAGCAGGAATATTGCATTCAAATCACCCCTGACAGATGGCCATCCAGCCTCTGTTTAAAAGCTTCCAAAGAAGGAGCCTCCACCACACTCCGGGGCAGAGAGTTCCACTGCCGAACGACTCTCACAGTCAGGAAGTTCTTCCTCATGGTCAGGTGGAATCTCCTCTCTTGTAGTTTGAAGCCATTGTTCCTTTGCGTCCTAGTCTCCAAGGAAGCAGAAAACAAGCTTGCTCCCTCCTCCCTGTGGCTTCCTCTCACATATTTATACATGGCTATCATATCTCTCCTTAGCCTTCTCTTCTTCAGGCTAAACATGATAAGCTCCTTAAGCCGCTCCTCATAGGGCTTGTTCTCCAGACCCTTGATCATGTTAGTCGCCCTCCTCTGGACACATTCCAGCTTGTCAATATCACTTTTTAATTGTGGTGCCCTGAATTGGACACAATATTCCAGGTGTGGTCTAACCAAAGCAGAATAGAGGGGTAGCATGACTTCCTTAGATCTAGACCAGGGGTCCTCAAACTAAGGCCTGGGGGCCAGATGCGGCCCTCCAAGGTCATTTACCCGGCCCTCGCTCTGGGTCAACCTAAGTATGAAACTACTTGAAAGCACACAATAACAACAACAATCCTATCTCATCAGCCAAAAGCAGGGCCACACTTTCCACTGAAATACTAATAAGTTTATATTTGTTAAAATTGTATTGTTTTAAAATGTTTTTTGCACTACAAATAAGGTATTTGCAGTGTGCATGATTTTTTCGAATGATAATCCGGCCCGCCAACGGTCTGAGGGATTGTGACCTGGCCCTCTGTTTAAAATGTTTGTGGACCCCTGATCTAGACACTATGCTCCTCTTGATGCAGGCCAAAATCCCATTGGCTTTTTTTGCCGCCACATCACATTGTTGGCTCATGTTTAACTTGTTGTCCACGAGGACTCCAAGATCTTTTTCACACGTACTGCTCTCGAGCCAGGCATTGTCCCCCATTCTGTATCTTTGGGTTATTCAATAAAATGCCCAAATTTGAGTACTGGTGGGGTGGGGGGATTGATTTTGTCACTTGGGAGTTGTAGCTGCTGGGATTTATAGTTTGTTTATTTATTTATTTATTTGCAGTATTTGTATACCGCTTTTCTCACCCTGAAGGGGACTCAAAGTGGTTTGAGGTAATGGTCAAACTCAGTGCCAGCAGTTAGACATAAATCAAATTAAAATACATCCATAAACAGTAGAACAATCATTAAAACAGTAAAACAGTCTCATCCATCGAATCACCGTTCTAGTCATTGTCTTTCCAAAATGCTGCATAGATTTGTTTCTACTGCCCGAAGGCCTAGTCCCAAAACCAGGCCTTTTTTCCTAAAAGCCAGGAGGGGAGAGCAGATCTTACCTCATTTGGGAGAGTGTTCCATAGGCGGGGGGCCACAGCCAAGAAGGCCCTGTCTTTCGTCCCCGCCAGGTGCATTTGCGCTGTTGACGGGAGCAAGAGCAGGGCCTCCCCGGATGATCTTAGATTACGAGGTGGGACATAGGGGCAGATGCGTTCAGACAAGTAAGCTGGGCCAGAACCGTATAGAACTTTATAGGTCAAAACCAGCACTTTGAATTGGGCTCGGAGATGGACCAGCAGCCACAATCAAAGTTTACCTACAATCAAAGAGCATTATGAACCAAACTTGGCACGCAGAACTCCCATGACCAAGAGAAAATACTAGAAGGGTTTGGTGGTCATTGACCTTGAGTTTTGGAGTTGAAGTTCACCAACATCCAGAGAGCAATGTAGATGGATCTAGACCAAACTTGCCACAAATACTCAATATACCCAAATGTGAACACTGGCGGAGTTTGGGGGGGAAATAGGCCTTGACATTTGGGAGTTGTAGTTGCTGGGATGTATTGTTCACCTACAATCAAAGAGCATTCTGAACCCCACCAATGATAGAATTGGGTCAGACTTCCCACACAGAACCCCCATGCCTTGAAGAGACTAGCTGGTGAGAGTCTTTCTCTAGCTTCACATGCTCTGCTTTGCCCGCACACGCCGAACATGCTGGCATGTGCCAACCATGCCTGCTCTCCCTTCCCCACTTGGAGTACTAGAAACAGGTCTCCAATTGGCTGAGAGGCCAATCAATCACAGTGGAGGAGTGTTTTTCCTGCAAGGATTCACCGTCTGTTTCCAAAAAGGAAGAGAAGGTATGGCAGAGAGATCTTCAGCCATCTCTGCCAAAGGGGTTTCTAAGACCATCAGAAATATATGTTTTCTGATGGTCTTTGGCGACCCCTCTGAAACCCCCTTGCCACCCCCTCCCCCAGGACCCGACCCACAGGTTGAGAAACGCTTTCCTAGAGCAAATCAAGTCTAAACTCTCACAAGATGCCAAAGTAATTGAACTACCTAGCATATTTCAGGCATATCATAGAACCACAGAATCATAGAGTTGGAAGAGACCTCATGGGCCATCCAGTCCAACCACCTGCCAAGAAGCAGGAATATTGCATTCAAATCACCCCTGACAGATGGCCATCCAGCCTCTGTTTAAAAGCTTCCAAAGAAGGAGCCTCCACCACACTCCGGGGCAGAGAGTTCCACTGCTGAACGGCTCTCACAGTCAGGAAGTTCTTCCTCATGTTCAGATGGAATCTCCTCTCTTGTAGTTTGAAGCCATTGTTCCTTGTCCTAGTCTCCAGGGAAGCAGAAAACAAGCTTGCTCCCTCCTCCCTGTGGCTTCCTCTCACATATTTATACATGGCTATCATGGAGCCTCCGGTGGCGCAGTGGGTTAAAGCACTGAGCTGCTGAGCTTGTTGATCAAAAGGTCGC